GTGTTCGTTTTGACTTTGTGTGGACGGGGCCTTAGGGGAGCAGCTGGGATTTATGACAGACGTTTTTTTCTGCATTGTTGGATAAATCTGAACGATGCATCATTCCCTAGGAGAAGAAGGACGGTTCCTGGCTGCAGGTTCTGCTGGATCCAGCTTGACCGGATCAGGACTCACCTTCTTGTCTGGATACTCCGTCTTGATCTCGGCGGCCATCTCCACCCCCGTCCCTCCGCCTCCGACCACCAACACAGAATCTGCCACCTGGATCTAAACACACGCACTGTGAGCGTCTGAGGCCCGGTGGCAAACAGCTGAGCGGGGGAGCGGGCGTCCTACCTGTTGGACAAAGTCCTCGTAGGTCTGGACGGCGTTCTGCAGAGACGCCTCGGTGTTGAACTTCCCAGGGAACGGCCCATCTGACCCAGTGCACAGGATGAGGTGGGAGTACTGGATCTCCTGCAGAGCAAACATAGACCTGTGATACACCTGATGACCAGCAGAGGGCAGCAGAGTCAGACGGAGGTCCTCACCCTGCCTCCCTGCAGGACCACCATCTGCGTTTCTGGGTCCACTCGCTCCACCCGGCCCTGAACAAAACTGCTTCCAAAGGTCTCAGCGTACGGGATGAAGGTCCTCTGAGCGAAGCCTGCAGGCAGCACAGGGTCAGAAGTCAAAGGTCAGGAGAGAGGCGCCACACAGAGCGGCAGAAGCCATGATGGAGCGGTACCAGGTTCCACGGACGCCCGGAGCGCCGCCACGTTGTGATGGAAGGCATCTCTCATGTCCACCAGCGTGAAGCTGACGCCGGCCGACTTCAGCTGCTGCGCCGCGGCGATGCCTCCAAAGCCCCCCCCCACCACCACCACATGGACGCCCTCAGGAACCGACACCTGGCCACCCATCCTCACACCTGCACACAGTTGAACAGAAGCTCAGGAAGCGGGTCAGACCGACGGCGGACCGCCTGCTTCCCCAGGATAAAGTCATCAAGATAACGTCAACCTCAGTCCAGAACCCTGGGCGGGCCGGTACCGGTCCGAACCTGAAGTCTGATTGGTTGAACAAAACGTTCCTCACTAATACTAAAGTAACATCAGCAGCGCTGCTGATTCTGAAGGCGCTGGGCAGATTAGACTGACATAGCAACACAATGATGCTGAAATCTGATTGGACAGAAAATATAGCAACAGATAAATATAATAGAAGCAGAGCAGCCAATAGAAACGCTACAGAATCAATTAATACAGCTGAAAATTAAAGTTAAGGTTTTCCCCGTCCAGGAAACACACAGCCAGGCAGACGAGCTCCGAGCCAGCTCCCATGTCAGAGGATGAAGAGAGCACATCCAGTTAGTCACAGTCAGAGAAACAGGACTACACTGGAAAACAGGCCAAGCTCCAACATCTAGAAACAAAGGTGTTGATGGCAGCAGCACAGCTGATATTTCTCTCCAGGATGGAGTCACAGCCAAACAGGAACAGACCAGATGAAGCTACTATGAGAAAAAGCAGAGAGAGCAGAACGTTAGAGATTGAACTAACAGATTCTGCAGAGTGGGAGAATAGAGATAGAATGAAGCAGAATGATGAAAAAGGGGTCCCTATGTCCTCCAGCAGTCTAAGCCTATAGCAGCAGAACTATAGAGATAGCTCAGGATAACCTGAGCCACTCTAACTAGAAGCTTTATCAAAAAGGAAAGATGGTTCCACAGGAGAGGAGCCTGAGAACTAAAAGATCTGCCTCCCATTCTACTTTTAGAATTTCTAGGAACCACTAGTAAACCTGCAGATTGAGAGCGAAGTGCTCTGTTAGGAACATCAGGAACAATCAGATCTCTGGTATCAGATGGAGCCAGGATTCTCTCAGAACTTTATCCAGAAATCTGAGCTGAGGTGAAACTGTCAGACTGGTTCTGATTGGATCAGGCTCCTCAGTGCCGTCCAATCAGACGCACAGATGAGTCCTGATAAGAGAGCTGCGGGAGGAAGAGTTTCCTGATGATGATGATGATGATGATGAAGCTCCACCAGCTGGAGCTCTGCTGTCCCGCCCCAATACTTACGAAACCGATTTCGAGGAAACTACCGAACCTCTTCAGAGGGTGCTAGAACTCCCTGACGTCACAGATCACCAACAGAGAAATGTAATGACATCATTCGGACCGGGACCCGGACTCACCTGCTGCAGGTTCGAAGCTGGTTTCTGTCCCGCTGAGGCACGGCTGCTTTTTACCTACTTTAGCTCCGCCCCCTGAATCTGACCAAAGCAGCTTCCCACCAATCAGCGCGCGGCCACTCTCCACGAAAACACTGGCTGTGATACATTCAGGGACTGTAGGAAATTAGAGATTAAAGTAAAATAAACATAAAGTTGGATTGTATATTAATGTATTTAGAAAAACTTTGAAAATAAAACAAAGAAGAATCTGTTTTTGCTCAAAGGAGAATAAATTATCTGTGTTTTTTGTTTTGTCTGTTCTGGTTGATTTTTCTGTTCTACAGCAGATTTTATCTTTTAAGGGATAGTACACCCAAAACATGAAGGCTAATCATGTTTTGGGTGTACTATTCCTTTAACCATCTAAAGTAAAAAAAAAAGTTCTAATGGAGGATTTATGGATGAGAAGCTGAATGTTGTAGAGAAATAAATCAGACTCTGCTGAATATGGAAGTGTTTCCAGCTGAGAAGCAGCAGCTGATCCCAGATCTGCTCCAGAGGATGGAGACGTATTGATCGCCTCTGATCAGATCATCTGCCCTCATTAGATTCTGCTGAGTCACTGTTATCAAACAGCTCCTCTGTGTCATAATGACGCAGTCATATGTAACCATTTTGGGGCCCCTGGCTGACCTCTGTGAGGGGCCTCCTCCTCAGGTCCCTGAAGGTGGAGATAATAGTCAATAATCGATCAGGTTCAATAAGACGGTGAAGCTCTTTGCTGTGTAGATGGATGGTTTCCAGAGGAGCTCAGGGCTCCAGACCTCCTCCAACCAGCCACTCTAGAATTAAAGTTCTATTCTCTGTTCCAGTCATATTAGCAATGCTGTAAACTGTTCTCAGTCAAACAAAAAGCTTTTAAAATAGTTTTACTTTAAAAGTTGTAAAGTTTGTAGATAAAGCTTTTATGATTGAACCTAAAGATAAATAAAGCTTTGGACATATTTAGACAAATCTTAACTTTAATAGAAACTGGAATAAAGCTTATTTTTCTTAATCCATGTTCAGATCCTAAAAACTCATTTATTTATCTTATTTATGATGAGAGTTTTTCCAAACAGTTGATCTTGTAAAAATAAAAAAAAGAATTGGTCCTGGCCCCTTTTATGGCCCCATTATGGCCCCAATAATGCCCCCCATCCTGGCCCCCATCATGGCCCCTGTTATGGCCCTGATATGGCCCCCACAATGGCCCCCGTCATGGCCCCTGTTTTGGCCCCCATAATGGCCCCCAGTCATGGCCTCCGTCATGGCCCCTGTTATGGCCCCACATGATGGCCCCCCACCATGGACCCTGTTATGGCCCCTGTTATGGCCCCCATGATGGCCCCCCATCATGGCTCCCTTAATGGCCCCCCGTCATGGCGCCTGTTATGGTCCCTGTTATGGCCCCCATAATTGCCCCCCGTCATGGCTCCCTTAATGGCCCCCCGTCATGGCCCCTGTTATGGCCCCTGTTATGGTATCCGTTTTGGCCCCATAATGGCCCCCCGTCAGGGCCCCTGTTATATCATCTGTTTTGGCCACTGTCATGGCCCCTGTTATGGCCCCCATAATGGTCCCCCGTCATGGCCCCCATCATGGCCCCCGTCATGGCCCCTGTTATGGCCCCTGTTATGGAAACTTTTATGGCCCCTGTTATGGAAACTTTTATGGCCCCTGTTATGGCCCCCGTCATGGCCCCAATAATGGCCCCCCGTCATGGTCCCTGTTATGGCCCCCGTCATGGCCCCAATAATGGCCCCCCGTCATGGTCCCTGTTATGGCCCCCGTCAAGGCCCCTGTTATGGTTCCTGTTATGGCCCCTGTTATGGCAACTTTTATGG